GAAGGTACTTTTTTTTCTTCTGATTGCCAGGCACGTCACAAACACCTTTTCCTTTCTTGTCCAGTGCCCCATATAGTTAGGAACACATAATATCATACGAGTGGTTTAATTGCAGTCATCAGCCCTTGACTTAAATCTTCACAGTTTAGGCATTAAACCCTAATTACCTCCCCTCTCCCCCATGTATTTTCCTATTCTACGTAGAAGAAATTCGAAAATTCTCATTATGGACTCTAAGACCTTATATAATCTGACCGTTTGCTAACCTCTCTGACCTTCTCTCCCCTGTGCTCCACATGGCACTGATCTGAAACACAGCACTTATTCCCACTTTTGAACTTGAGTCTGGAAGTTCTCAGGCAGGACTGCCCTTCATTTCTCATTTTCATGGCTGGTTCCTTTATGTCAACTCAGGTACCAACTCAGACGACAGCTGTAATTGTTACTTGCCAGCCTATTACCCTGCTGATTCTCTTCATGGTGTCAGTGCCTCCGTCTGCTGTCTTGTGTGTGTGTTTAACGTCTGTCCCCCTTACCAAAACCTCGGTTTAAAGAGGACAGGGACTTTTCTGCCGCGTTCCCAGTATCTGGAACATTGCCAGACACGCAGTTTGGGCACTTGTAAATATTTATTGATTGCATACATGGGTCATGATAGAGTACAGAGGAAATGGGCATTTATCGAGCACTTGCTGCATACCGAGCAGTCCTCATTTAGTTCTTCCAATAGCCTGTTGAAGTGAACATTAATTTCCATTTTGTAACCAAAAGCCTAAGACGTAGAAGCTGTTACCGTCCGCAGGCAGGCAGGTGCGTTCCTGTAGTCCTTCATCATCATCATCATCTCAGCTCATGTTAACCTGAGCACTGGACACAGTACTGAGAACCTTAGGGTTATGAGCCCATTTAATCCTTATTAAGACACTGTAGGTGTCACGGTGCCCATTTTACAGTTGAGGGAACTGACGCTTCTGTCAGGGAACTTAACCAGAGGCACCTAGAAAACAGCATGCCAGAATAAACCAAGATCAGGCACCCGGGTGGCTCCGTTAAGCGTCCAGCTTTGGCTCAGGTCGTGAACTCACGATTCGTGGGTTCGAATCCTGCGGTTGGAATTCTCTCTCTCTCTCTCTCTCTCTCTCTCTCTCTCTCTCTGCCCGGTGTGGTTGCTCACTTGTGCGCTGTCTCTCTCTCTCTCTGCCCAGCGTGGTTGCTCACTTGTGTGCGCGCTCTCTCTCTCTTTCAATAAATAAATAAAATAAAGTGAACCCAGATCTAGTTGACTTCAAAACCCACTATAATCAACTCCTATTCCTTAGTAGAGAAATAATTCCTTAAGTTTTGTTCTCATTTTTTAAAGATGGCATCAGAATCCTCCCCCCCCCCCTTTTTTGTGTGTGTGTGTGAAATCTGACACCAGATGCCCATTGTGATAGATGAGTGAGCTGAGCTTCAGGACGGTGTGAGGAGGCGGAACTATGGAACCTTGCTTGGTTCTCATTGCACTGAGGTTATCCTAGCATTTTAGGGAGAAATTGCCTTTATTTATTTAATTTCAAGAGTCACTGTATATGTAATACATAGCTAATAGATATATCGTCTTAATAGGAAAAAAATTTCTAGTGATTTTATAAAAAAGACTCATACTTAATTTTTTAATTAAACAAAAGAAAAAACTACATGAAAAGAATTCAGAATCCTCTGGACTGCTGCCCCAAAGATAACCACTCTTAATAGTTTAGGGACCCTCTTCATAAATATCTCTTTTCATATATACGTATGTGTGTATTCATAGGTATATACATCTTACAGTACATGAAATTTACATGTAGTCTTGTAACTTCATTGGTTATTTTGCTTTGTTTTGTTTTTTTACTCAGTTCTGTTACACTTGCTTTCCAGTGTCTTTTCATGTCAGAATAGCTCTCAGAATCCGAAGAAATGGACCCACAGTGGTGCGAGTGACCGGTGGGAGGGTTGTGTTGGGAGAGCAGTATCCCTCTGGCCCTGAGCACAAAGCCACAGGTGTAGACACGTGTGTGAAGGACGTAGTCCGCCTTTCGACCCTCCCTTTGTCCCTTGTGTCGCCAGCTGTCCCCTGCCAGTGGATATGTCTGAGTTGGGTGGAAGAGAGAGAGTGTGTAGTTGTACATGGCCGACCCCCCTCCCCCCGCTGTTACAGCTTAATGCCCTTGAACTTCAGGTGTCCTCTCCTCTGAAAAGTGGCCAAAAGACAGGTCTCTAAGCCGACTCTTAGCAGGTTGTTAATGCCCTACTTTGAGGTTTTGGAACCAGGGCTCCGTGGACCTAGCAGGCCAAGGCAAGAATGACTGTTCTTGGAGCAAAATAAGTGCACAGCAGGCCAGAGCAGGAGAGACAGTGTTCCAGAAGCTTTTGATATTTGGCGAGAACATTACAATTGCTAACTTGCAAATATGCCACAACAGCATCTTCTGCTGTGCTGTTATTTCCTTTGCCTAGAATGTTCTTCATTTATTTCTCTGTTCACATCTCTGTCTCCCAAAGTCCATCTCAAACACCAGTTCTTCCTTGATACAGATTTGATTTTGTTTTGCTTCTTGAAACCAGATGTGTGTTGTCCCCATTGGTTAAGGCTCAGTCCGCATTTTTTCACTATGTTTCAGATGATGGAATATCAACAGTAGAGGAAATAATGATCATCTGCTTTTCATCATGAAAACATGTTTGCTGTTTGTAGCAAGCGTTAGTTTCGGGACTGTGTCCTTTAAAAGCACTTAATAAAAGAAGCAAATGTCACTGGAAAATTTCCACCTTCGCCATTGTTTTGGCTACAAACAGTCTCCCTCTGCACAGCGGGGCTGAGAAAACAGTGGTGTCTAAGTTGGTCTGGCAGACACCCAACTATACCTAAAAAGGTTCCATTTACATCTGGAGATTCTCATGCCACACAAGACACGTGGCCTGTTAGCAACAAGGACAGGTTGGAATGTGCTGCTGCCACTAATGTCACGTGGCTCCTGTCACGCGCCCTGGTGCTTACATGCTACTTCAGGCTGGCTCCCCTTTCCTCCATTTGGGTTCTCTCCTTTTGCCTTTCCACGTTAGCCACAAAAGTATAAGTTCCTGTTGCTTAGGAATTAGGGCAAACTTGGATAAATTAGACCTTAGCTGCAACTGGAGTCAGAGACTTCTCCCAGGGTGTCTGGGGTTTCGTGTTGGCCTCGTGGCAGGGCCTTGGGATGGCGCAGAGCTCAGTAATGTCTCGGTTCACTCCTTGATAAACATAGTCGCTTTATTACTCCATAATGGTAACGCTTCCCCTTGGACAAGTATTGGGTAATATAAAATAAAAAAGGTGTAGGAACGAAAATTTAAAAATCACCAATAACCTTACTACCCATCTAGGCAGAGAACCGCTAATATTTGGGTCTATTTTTTTCTAAGATTTCTATCCTAACCATTGCTCTATAGTGAATTGGTCCATTTTAAGGCTAGGAAATTCTCATTGACAAGCTCTAACTGACCAGTGATTTAATAAGGTTGCTGATTGTTGCCTATTCTGAATGTTGCTTGCCCCACCACGGGGGGAGGGTGGCATCTCGCTTTGGCTGAAATAGGCAGTCTCTGACCATCTTTCTACCTTCACTTTGTAAATAGTACCTCTTTGCTGGGTTGATGACACACAGCTATGCTAATGTCTATAGAGTGCTAAAAGAAAAAGTCGTATTGTATTTATACATACGTACGTATATACACATATCTCAGATTTTGCATGTCCCGTCCAGACTACCACAGTAAAGCAAATATTGCAATAAAGCAAGTCAAATGATTGTTTTGGTTTCCCACCTACAGGTTGTGTTTACATTATACTGTAGTTTGCTAAATGTGCAATAGCATTATGTCTTAAAAAAACAAGAACGCATGTACTTTAAAAAGACTTTAGTGTTAAAAAATGCTAACCGCCATCTGGGCTTTCAGCACATTGCGATCTGTTTGCTGGCTGCAGCTTCTCCGCCAGTACCCACCGCCCCACCCTGCGCTTGTGTGTTGTGGAGACGGCTTCTTTCCTTGAACCTCTGCTGGCTTCACACTTTTCTTCTGAGGCCTCTTCACCTCCCTGAGCCTTCACAGAATTGAAGAGATCACAAGGGCCTTGCTCCTGATTCGACTTTGGTGTAAGGCAACATTGTGGCTGATTGATCTTCTATCCAGGCCACTGAAACTTTTCTCCATGGCAGCGATGAGGCCATTTCACTTTCTTATCAATTGCATGTTTACTGGACTATAGCACTTTTGATCTCCTTCAAGAACATTCCCCTTGCATTCACAAATGGGCTACCTGTTTAGCACAAGAGGCCTAGCTTTCTGCCCGTCTAGGCTTTCGGCCTGCCTTCCTCACCGAGCTTAACCATTTCTAGCTTTTGATTTGAAGTGACAGACATACACCTTTTCCTTTCAAGTGAAAGGCCACTTTGAGGCCGTCGTCAGGCTTATTCCTTGGCCTCATCAATATTGTTGTGTCTCAGGAAAGAGGGAAATCGAGGGAGGCTGGCCAGTCGGTGGAGCAGTCAGAACACACAACATGTACTGGTTAAGTTGGCCATCTTATGTGGGTACGCTTTGTGGCTCCCCAGAACGGCAATAGTAACGTCACAGGTCACCATAAAAAAATGTAATAATGACGAGAAAGTTTGAAATGTCCTGAGAATTCCCAAAATGTGACAGAGACACAACGTGACAGATACTGGAGGAAACCTGGCTCTGACCCACTTGCTCCACACAGGTTGGCCATGAACCTTGAGTTTGTTAAAAACGTGTATTTGCAAAGTGTAGTAACGTGAAGCACAATAAAATGAGGAGGGCCTGTAGATATGCCATTTATATGCATACAAATAAATAAGCAGTTGCTTTTCACAAGGAAAAAGACAAGTGTCTGAAAGATAGAAATCGGGTCTATCCAGTCGTGTTCTGTCATGGCCTCCATAGTATTTGCGCTTCCCTCCTTGTTTTCTGTGAAGGAACCTGCTCCGGACCGGCTCCTCGTGCTGAAGGTCCTGTGGGATGACTTCCTGATGTGCTACTCCTTCCGGCCCCTGCTCTGCTGGTCGGTGTGGTGGGCCCTGTCCACCTGCGGCTACTTCCAGGTCATCAACTACGCACAGGGCCTGTGGGAGACGGTGATGCCCTCTCGCGATGCCGCCATCTACAACGGCGGCGTGGAGGCTGTGTCCATGCTCCTGGGTAAGCGGTGTGGGGCGGCACATTCCTCCAGAGTGAAGTCCACTGGGATCAGATTTTCTCTCCCCTCAGAAATTGGAGGTGACCCCTCCCTCCCTCCTCCCAGGAATGATTTCTTCGTTTTGAGCTCTGACTTTACCGTTTAGGAAGAAATGTAGCAGTGCTCTTGTTGTGGGTGACCGTGATTAACAAACTGGAGTTCTTTAGGCCCCATAGGGAAGCCTCGCATAACGACTTTCAACATTGTCTTCCTGTTCAGGTTTCCGTCATCTCTGAATTTACTGGGTGCTTCTGTCACCTGATGTGAAACTCTGGGATTATACAAGTCTGTGACAAGAACTAATACGTGTTGAGTGGTGTTATGTAACAAATACTTGTCCTAAGGACTTTATGTATATTTTTAAATTTTTTTTATAGTTTATTTATTTTTGAGAGAGAGACAGAGCATGAGTGGGGGAGGGTCAGAGAAAGAGGGAGACACAGAATCTGAGCTGCCAGCACAGAACCCAACGCAGGGCTCAAAACCACGAACCTCGAGATCATGACCTGAGCTGATGTCGGACGCTTAATCGACTGAGCCACCCAGGCGCCCCTGTGTGTATTCACTCAGTCCTCACAGAATTCCCGTGACAGTTACAGTTAGTGTCTCCATTTTACAGTTCAGGAAACCCAGACAGATGGGTTCAGAACTTGCCCAAGGTGGTATGATGGTACGTAGTCAGGTCAAGGTTTGAACACAGAGCCTGTGTCCTTGACCATTACATTCTGTTGTCTGTTTTCTTTTTTAATGTTTGTTTATTTTGAGAGCGAGAAGGCAAGAGAGAATCTCAAGCAGGCTCTGCACTGTCCATGGAGAGCCCCATGCTGAGCTTAAACTCACTGTGAGATCAGGACCTGAGCTGAAATCAAGAGTCGGAGGCTTAACCGGCTGAGCCACAGGGGCGCACCCCCCCAACCCCCGATAAGATTTACAGAAAGCATTCCGTGCTTTCTGTAACACTTCTGTGTCTGGCACTTAGAAGGCACTCTGCACATTTTAACTGTCATTACTGGCATCGTCGTTTTACCAAAGAGCGGACATGCCCTTCTGTTGTGTTCTGAAGCGGTGCTCGGGCAGGAGGTGGGATGATGCCTTGGCCGTGTGGCCAGGCCGGAAGCAGCGGCTCTTTTTGACTCCTGCCTCTACATCAGCCTCAGCACCTTTTTCCTCAGCAGCGCCCCTGGGTCTGTGTCCTCCCATTTCCTGGCCACCTGCTCTCATTCAGCCTCTCGCTGTCTCTCCGTGGCTCCGTATTGCTTATTCCATCAAGTCCAAAGTGCTCTGCCTGCCTTTCAAGGCCCTCCCTCATCTTGAGCTCCCCTGTTTGTAAGTTACAGGATTTGGAAATGTAATAACCCAAGCTTGATGTTTAGTTTATTGAAGTAGCCTTTGTGGAGCAAAGTAACAGGATAACTTTCCTCTCTTGTGTTTGCAGGCGCTGTTGCCGTGTTTGCAGTTGGCTACGTAAAGATATCCTGGTCGACCTGGGGGGAGATGACGCTGTCTCTGTTCTCTCTGCTGATTGCTGCTGCAGTGTACGTCATGGACACCGTGCAGAGCATCTGGGTGTGCTACACGTCCTATGTCGTCTTCAGAGTCATCTACATGTTGCTCATCACTATAGCAACGTACGTGTTTTGATTCAGAGAAGCATTGGGAAAAGTTGTGACGGGATAAACTTTTTTGGTTTCTTCGCAAACAAATGCAAACTGTGTGTTCTTCTCCCGAGGAAGCGTTGACACAAGGCTCATGTATTTTCCTGGTCCCATAGTCCGCTCTGTTCAGGTGCTTGCGTGAGATTTGCAGCGTTTCGCCACAAAATGCTTTTCACTCGGTTGGGAGGGGAATTAACTGACAGGAGAAAGAAGGGGCTGCTCTTCACAACGGAAGTAAAAGCCATAACAACCTGGGGAGGGATTCCTGTCGGTTCATGCTTATGTGTGTTTGTTTTCTTCAGTTTTCAGATTGCTGCTACCCTCAGCATGGAGCGCTACGCCTTAGTGTTTGGTGTGAACACCTTCATCGCGCTGGGCTTGCAGACTCTGCTCACTCTCATCGTGGTGGACACCAACGGCCTTGGCTTAGACATTACCACTCAGGTAAGACTTCTGTTTCGACACGCGAGATGTCGTAGTCATCACAGCAGATGGTCAGAGTGACGAAGTGACGGATGCTTAATGAAAGCCAATTCAACCAGTACGGGCAGATATCACACATAAAATCAAAAGTAGGAGTGCTCCCCCTCCCCCTCCTTTAGTCAACGGCCATCCTTAGTTCCCTCCTCTCTCGAGGATGGTGGGACCCTCATCTTTTTGACGAGGACCTAGAACATTTCTGAGTGTCACTCAGGAGCCTGGTGGAGCTGAGAAGTAATGCCGGTTCCCTCCAGGCTGAGCTTTTCTGCTTCCTCATCCATCGTTTCCCTCCATTTTTAATTCTGTCCGTGGAATACTGGATCCTGTGTTTGAGATGCCTGCTTCATCTCACCGTTCTGAAGCCTCCTCCTTTCTTGATTACAAATGCTTCTCACCCAGATAGCAAGGCAATGACTTGCTGTTGATGAACAGCTTTAAGTTTCTTAACATATGACCCACTGAGAAAACACCTGCACAAACACCCAAAGCCAGTAGGGATACTTTTATTCATTCAGGAACTGTGTGTCGTAGATACCTTCGTGCGTTGTGAGTTAGTAGGTAGGGCTTGCTCTGTACTTTGGCAGAATGGGCAACTGAATCAAAAAGTGCCTACCCCACCCCCAGCCCAGCCCAAATGATTCGTTCTCCATTATTCCCTCCTCACTTAGATACTCGTTTTCTTATAACACAAAGACCCAGCACGTTAGCAGTAACGAACTTTGCACTGAAAGATATAAAAGAGAAGTTATAATCACAGTTTGTAATGTGGGCTGAGTGCTTCCTGTGTGCCAGGGACTCTGTATAGAAATGTGCAGGGTTGGGGCGCCTGGGTGGCTTAGTCGGTTAAGCGTCCGACTTTCGCTTAGGTCATGATCTCGCGGTTCGTGGGTTCGGGCCCCGCGTCAGGCTCTGTGCTGACTGCCAGCTCAGAGCCTGGAGCCTGTTTCAGTCTGTGACTCCCTCTCTCTCTGACCCTCCCCTGCTCACACTGTCTCTCTCTCTCCTAGAAATAAATAAAAAAAAAAAAATTAAAAAAAAAAAATTTAAAAAAAAAAAAAAAAAAGAAAGAAATGCGCAGGGTTGCAGTCAGGATTGGACATCAACAGAATGAGTCCAAGAGATGTTAAGTAATGTTAAATGTTGTTTAAGGTCGTGTGGTCAACGGTAATATGGCACAGCTAGGATTTAAACCAGCTTCTGACTCTAAAGCCTGATCATCTCTCCCTGGATTATGGTGCCTCAAAAATGTAGTCAGGGAATGGGGGAGTGGAGGAGCCAGAAGCACATGACTTTCTATTTCCCAATCACTACCAACAGTGAAAACCTTGAGACGACTTCTCAACGGTTAGGCGCTCAAGATTTGGAACAGAGGGTAGGAGAGAGACTAAGTGCTTGTCATTCTGCTATAGACATGGTGGGTTTAAAAATACAGAATTATAGAATTTTGTAGGCTGTGCTGAAACTTGTCCATGATTAATTAACAGGTTTCCTATAGGAAAATGTATCCAAATTTTAAAGACCACTGGCTCAGAGTGACACTCTTATTGCACATATGAGCCAACTTCTAAGTACTTCCTGAGTTACCTAGAGATTTTTACAGTCATGCAAAGGCGGGATATAGCAGACTCTCTACTGCCCTCCTTTGGGGAGGAATAGAAGTTATTTATCTTCAGCCTGCTGGTCATACTTGAACCTGTCAACTTGAGGGAAGAGACGGCGATTCAATTTTAACAAAAGCAATAAAAATAAAAACAGTAGTATTAACAGCTTTGGCATTGTGCAAACAAACACATGTATGATCTCATCCCTTCCCAACGACCCAGTAAAATGGGGGATATTGTGAATTCCGTTTTGTAAATGAAATCCAGGCTCAGAGATGAAGTATTTTGGTCAGGGTCACCCGGCTCGTTAGGGATGGAGTCCGGGTTTGCACCAAGGCGGTCGGGCCTCAGTACCACCGTGCTGTGCTGCCCCTTTCACTGTCCGCGGCCATATCATGTAAGCACACAGTGTTTTTTGAAGGCTTATCAAGACACTGAATATACCATTAATCATAGGAGGTGTTCACATATATCCAGTAAAACGTCTCATCTTGTGATCAGTAATCCTCTAAACTACTTCTTTCCCTACCCCTTTTAGTTCCTGATCTACGCCGGTTACTTTGCACTCATCGCTGTGGTTTTCCTGGCCAGCGGTTCCATTAGTATTATGAGGAAATACAGAAAGCAAGAAGATGCAGAATCAAGTTCTCGAGTAACCACTTCATAATACCCTGCTGCTGAGCTGCTTCTGATAGCAGACACTCTGCACAGCAACTGTGCCTGGATATATTTAAGTTTTTAGTATGTGGACGTATGCATATGAATGCGCTTTTTAAGGCTTCAGAGCAGCCAAATGACTCTACCTTGTGCTCCTAGAGTAACCATACTGTTTAGGGTAGCTAGAGGTGACGTTTCTCTCGTGGATTATTTATGAAAGCTAATTTAAGGATGACTTTCTTCCGATGCAAAAGCAAACTTGATTTTGAAAACCAGGTGGTTGAGAGCACTCAAGCAACACGTGGCATTTATACTTGATAGTAAGTGAGTCTGGTGCCTCCTAGGTCACGTTACTTCTCGTGGCCCGGTGGGAGCAGGACTCCACAGGCCTCGGATCCTGTGTTCCAGCAGCACCTGCCTCTGTTCAGCCTCATTTGTGTCTCTGCGTTATTGTGTGCATTTATGTTTCTACGGTTGAAAGTTGTTGAATCACCGCCACTGTTTGCTATGGTTGGTGTTCTGCCCTATTGGGAATGTGTGTCATTCCCAATTTTAAGTTATTTTTAAAACACTCATTGTATGAATGTTCTCAGTTTCCATCCTGACAATTTTGTGTTTGTGTAGATTGTCTTTAGAAGTACACTTTTGCGTTATTCATATGCTTCCCAGGAAGCTCATGAAGTTAGAAAATAAGGCAAGTTTTGAGGCCTGTTAATAAATCGAAACGAAGAGACCTAATCAGAAAACGTAAGTTACGTTTGTGTGTCTTTTAGTCTTCAGTATGAAGGACTATTAATTCTAGGAGGAGAAGGTAATACATGAGCCAAGGATACAGCTACCCCAGCCAGATCATTTTGTATTTGCCCTCCCTTTTATTTCCAAAGTAAAATGAAGTCTTTTTAAAAAATATCTTCATCCCTACTTATAATTTCTTATATTATTTGTCCTTATCCAAGATCAAATTGTCATTAGGAGTTAGATTTGTTGGATTATTATAAGGCCTTTTCAAAAACTGAGACTCTTTAATTATTTCAATGGGACAGGTACTAGGATAGACTTGACTCCTGCATTTTTTACATTAAATCTGCCTTTGTTTCTAAGGTTGGATCATCTCGGAATATCTGCTTAAAATAATAACTGCTAGTGATTCCTTTTCCAGGGTACTTGGGAAAATGTTGTGTATACATTTAGTTCTGTAATTAGCCTACCGAGTGGTTGCTAGTTGTGTTATGTGAGTCACAAAAGCTTTTTTAAAGCCAATTTTGTTGCCTTACTTGAGAAAAATCTAGGCTAATTTATTTAGAATAACACAGGTAAACCGTGTGAATACTAGTTTCAAGATTCCAATATTGACATACTCATTTAGTGTAAGTAGGAATTCTAGAAGTTAATGAAGTAAGTATATGTCATTTTCCTTCCACCTTCCCTTCTGTCAAGGGAAGAAAAAGAACACTAAGGGAAGGGGAAATGATGTCATGAAAGTACAGCCTCTGATTTTGTACTTTTTCTTTGGAATTGTTTACTCAGAAACAAGTAGAAAAAGTGATGTTCAAGGGATTTTATTTAACATTTTTTAATAAAATGGGCTGTGCTGCAATCAAATTGTTCATGTTACCAAAGAAATATTTCCCTAAGATTTAATTCAAAGTGTACGGTACACAGCTGGAGCCTTTACTCATTAAAGACAATAATAAGTTCATATTCAGGTGTGTGGTCATATTTCTAGAACGCTGAGCCCAATATGCAAGTTGTGCTGTGTGCAATTTTGCAAAGAAGTGAAAAAAATCTGTTGTAAATTTTATCCAATTCTGGATCGATTATAAAATTATTTTTATTAAAAAATATTTTACATCATATTTACTCTTTTTAATCAAATTATTTTAAATGTATTTTTTGCTTCAGCAGGAGCTTTTGATTACATATTAAAACCTTGTACTGATGAGCCCTCTCTCACCTGGCCTTCATGTCTAACCTGGTCACCCTGTGAATTCTTCCCACTGCTTTGTGATCCTGTGACACCTTCCCTTTATTTCTGTCATTTTCCCTGTCATTTCTAGCACCAAACTGCACTGTTTATTTTTCTTGGTCTTCATCTTGGTACCTCTCATCTCTCTTTGTAAAGCAGTCTTCCTTGTAGAAACCAAAAAGACTCACATTCCCTTCAGTGTTAACTGAATTTTAAAAATAAAGGAAATTCAGTCAAAGCGAGGGCTGAAGTTGCCATGATGTTTTGAAGCTGCATCGCCTCTTTGTTCGAGCCCAAAGCATCCTGACCTCCGAGAAAGCTTCTTGCCATCAGGTGAGAATCACTTGTTCGTTATATCCCAGAAACCAAGGCCCTCATTTTTCACAGTATCTAAAGGAGTACCTTCCCTTTAATACCCCACCCCAAAACCTACTGCATTAAAGTATTTCGCTGATTATCAACCAAAGATTCATAAATTCTCATGCCAAAAATTTTTTAAAGATAAAGTTTTCTGTTTAGTTCTAGCCCCTGCACCTTAATGCCTTTTGGACTGTAAGCCTTCTGAGCAGGGACCATGCTTTATTTGTCTTTTTTTGTTGTAAAACACATCCTAGTGCCATATGAATATTCACCTACATAGATAATATGTAACTGACTTAATACCTGCCAGTATAATAGTAAATGCCATTACTTTGTTTTTAAAGGACATCAAATGTACTTAACAGGAAATGTTAAGATTAAAATGCTTATCAGTGACCTCCGTTCCACTAGACGGTTTCTTCAAGGTATTGTGCTCAACATGGTAGAGACTGGATACCTATTTGTTTTACTTACTATGGTGTCCTCATCATTAATTCCTTACACTTGAGTAACATGTTTTAGTTTGGAAAAGGCATTTGTGAACATCATCTCCTTTGATTCTGGAAAAGGATCTTTTAGAGGAATTAATTACTTTTTCATCAGGAATGCTGATATGGTAGAAGGGAGTTCAAAATGCTAGGTTTGCCACTCAAAGTTGTGCTACATTAGGAAAGTCTATTTTTTTTAAATTTTTTTATTTCTGAGAGCGAGAGGGAGAGAGAGACAGCGTGAGCAGGGGAGGGTCAGAGAGAGAGGGAGACACAGCATCTGAAGCAGCTCCAGGCTCTGAGCTGTCAGCACAGAGCCCGACGCGGGGCTCGAACCCACAAACCGTGAGATCATGACCTGAGCCGAAGTCAGATGCTTAACCGACAGAGCCACCCAGGCGCCCCCGGAAGTCACTCTCTTGAGCTTCAGTTTCCTCATGGGTAAGGGGGGATGACTTGTGAAGACATGAAAGAGCATATATGAAGGTCGCTACCACACTGCAGACAGAGTAAGGGACTGTGGAATCCGTTCCTTCATTCTTTCTGTTTAATGTTTCAATCAAAATGAAAACTATCACAGGCTCTCAAACACCTCCTCCCCTTACTTTTATATTCTGGAAAGCTCTTCTGGGGATACAACAGATGAAAAAGTCATGATTCCTGCTCTCAAGGAATTTAAAAATGTGTGGTAAGTAGGAAGGGTAACATCGATGTCCCAGTGTATTACACAATAGTGGCAGGTACCATTAACCATTGTCCATTAAGAAGTTAAAAGGCTTGTTTCCAGAGAACAGATCATTGGGAAAATCCTAAGTGCCTTCCTGAAGGAAATGGCATTTAAGTTGGCTACACAGGATGGGTAGGATTTTTAACAGAAATTTGGAAAGGGAAACTGTGTAGTGGGGAAAAAAGCATAAATAGTTAAGAAAGCCCAAATATGTGGGGGTGTATTTAAGGCCAGTAGATGCATGGGTTCGATCAGCAAGGACTGGAGGGAGGTTATGACAAAGTTGGACAATTTGGGGTCATTTTCTAATGCTTTTTAATTGGAGGTGGCGGTAACGATTAAGCTTATATTTAAGAAATTTAATCTGGCAGCAGAGTATAGGGTGAGTTTTATGGGAAGATTGGCTAGGTGCAGATGAGGAAGGCTTTTCTGACTTTTGGCAGTGGAAGAAACAGGACTGACTCTTGAGGTTACTAAACATTCTAGAATGTGTGTTCATGTTTCCAAGATGACTTAAAAAGTGTAAATGAGCACACAAGGTCACACATCTGTAAAGTGGAGAAACCGGTTTGGGATTCTGAATCCCATCCAACATTGCCAATTAATGGTCACTGCCCCCCCCCCCCCTCCATCAAGTCTGCAGGGGTGAGACCCCAGAGGCAAGAGGGGCGGGAGGAAGCAGACGCAGCCCAGACAGCGGGGCTCCGGAGAGGAAAAATGCCATGCAGGGCACCAGGGGCTGCAGGGTGGATGCGCTGAGAGGGTGAGGAGTGAGGAGCCGTGGGTACAGCTGTGGGTGCAGGGGTGAGGAGCCCTGGGTACAGCTGTGGGTGCAGGGGTGAGGAGCCCTGGGTACAGCTGTGGGTGCAGGGGTGAGGAGCGAGGAGCCCTGGGTACAGCTGTGGGCGCAGGGGTGAGGAGCCCTGGGTACAGCTGTGGGCGCAGGGGTGAGGAGCCCTGGGTACAGCTGTGGGCGCAGGGGTGAGGAGCCCTGGGTACAGCTGTGGGCGCAGGGGTGAGGAGCCCTGGGTACAGCTGTGGGCGCAGGGTGAGGCAAAGCAGTCGAAAACCAGAAGAAGCCCGATCTCCGGGTTCGCTTGGGAAGGCGCCTCCAGACCCGAGGCCGCCCCGCAGGCCTGTGGTAGGCGGGGCCCGGCCCCCCTACTCGCCCCGCCCCCCCCGCCCCTGCAACTGCAGCCGGGCCCCCCAGGGGAGCGCGGCGGGAGGGGGGCCGGGCCGCGGGGCGCAGTCGCCCTGCGCTGGGATGTGCTGCTCCAGAGCCCACACCCCCCGGGGCTGGAGGGCGCCCCCGGGGAAGGGCCCGTGCGCTGAAGGGCGTCCGCTGCCGTCCGGGGCGTTTAAAACGTCTTCGGCCATCTGTATGGACTGTTAGAAATCACTCTGAAATCGATTCTCGTTCCCAAATTGCCGTCTTTTAAAATAAGTGAACTAAAGGGGCGATAGCTTTTTCCAAAGGAAAAGTCTTACCCTTCGAAGACTCTCAGCGGAAAGGCAAACTCCTGCCCCCAGTGCTGGAATGTTAACAAAAACTGTTTAGTACTTAAATAGTTAAAACCCCTGAGCATATTCACGTGTTTGATATAGTTCCGATTTCTCCTACTCGGCCCCCCCCCCGTTTTAAAGTACCAAACTGCAGGAGACCGCCGTTCGCTGCGGGACGCCCCTCCCTCACCGCCCCCCCCTCAGTCCTGAGGCCCGACCTCGGTGTTCCGGGGGTGTCGCGAGGGAACCTTGTCCGGATCAGGACGAACAGGTCGCGCCCTCGGGCAGAATCAGCTACCTAGACATTCTTGCTCCTGTGGCGCTTGACAGATTCTGAGACCGTGGGCCAGAGTGTGTCCCTAGCGGGAAATGATCTAGTGGCTGAAAGATCTGCCCTTATCTCCAGCTCTGTAATTTAGCCCCACTAATAGTTTTTGATGCTGTCTTCCTCACCCTGTTTTTTTTCTTTCCGCATTTGTCTCCTCTCCTTAGGTATAAGCCATTGCATACCCAAAGTCATTCCTCCACAGCCACTTGAAAGAAAGAAAGGAAAGAAAGAAAGAAGGAAAGAGAAAAAGAAAGAAAGGAAGAGAAAGGAAGAGAAAGGAAGGGAAGGAAGGAGGGAGGAAGGGAAGGAAGGGAAGGAAGGGAAGGAAGGGAAGGAAGGGAAGGAAGGAAGGAAGGAAGGAAGGGAGGGAGGAAGGAAGGAAGGAAGGAAGGAAGGAAGGAAGGAAGGAAGGAAAAGATCTGGAGATGTCTGGTGGTAGAAAGGATTCCAGCCTAAGCCAGAGATTCTAAGTGGGAGCCAAAGTGGTCCCAGATGAATAGAAACCCTTGGCTTATGGTAGAAGCAGTATTTTTAAAAAATTACCTCTAGAATCACTAAATTCTACTCTTGAAGTCGCTATATGTAATTATACATTAACTAACTTGAATTGAAATAAATTTTTTAAAAAAACTTTAAATTAAAATCACCTTTAGAGAAAAGCATTCCCTCTTAAGTCCTTGCACTGATAGAGTTAACAGTGTGGAATAGAAAATCACAGAGACAAGGATACCTTAGTCTTCAATACTTAGACTTCTAAGGAATGGGCAGAAATCCCATCTCACAACGCACAATAAAATTTTACTAATTGAGTTTACTTGTGATTGGCAAACAGTTTGGTTCCCAGTTATAATGTGAAGGTGGCCTCCTTACTGAAAGCAGGGAGAGCCTGAAGAAAGGGGCCACTCCGGACTGGTAGGTGGCGGGTTTAATAAGCAAAGGGAACTCAGATACAAGGCTTATCTGGGGCTGCTGCAAGATGAATGGATCCTTGCACCCACCCACCACGTTTCATAAGTTTATATAGAGGCGTTAGCTGGGTTCATCACATGTACTGTGCGGATCAGCTCAATACCACATCACTATTTCAAGGCTGTGTCCTTGGGCAGTTGCTGGGAGCAAGAAAGGCAAGCAGAAAGCACATTCCAAGGACAGGGGAGGGGGTGTGGAGCCTCTGGTTGCCAGGGTCCAGCTCACAGGTCGACCAGTAGTCCTGTCCTCTCCATGATCTCCCTCAACAACAAAAAAAATAAGAAGTATTATTACTCTTAATATTTGTCAACTCTAATCCCATATGTGTATTTATTATTGTCTCACAGCCCCAAGAAACCACAGTAAAGCATCAACAGTTAATAGGACACTTAACTGTCCTATTAACAGTTAAGGCTGATCGCTCTCAGATCAAATATATAAAATATTTACTGTTGGAAATTTCTAAGTTATTACAAATTAAATACCTTATTTTAAAAATCACCAAAGACATAA